CGCTATCTGCACGCTCTCTCACACCACCACCCAGCACAGATCAACTCTGTAGCCAAGACACTCATCTCCAGAACAAAACGCTTAGCTGACGAACAACACCTAAAACCCGAACTACACACTCTCACCAATGTACTAACATCCAATGGATTCCATAGAAATAAGATTACAAACCTAATCCAAAAAGAAACCCCCACTAAAATCCAAGACAAAGAACAAGAAAACGGCAAAGCCCTCCTCCCATACATAAAAGGCACCACAGACAGAATCAGTAAGATCCTCCATAAACACAACATCAAAACAGCATTCTGCACAAACAGAAAAATATCCACCATCCTTAGAAACCCCAAAGATAAAATTGAATTAGAAAATCAAGGAGTATACGAAATCCCATGCACCACTTGTCCCACCACATACATCGGACAAACCAACAGAAGAATAAGTGCACGCATTGAAGAACATAAGAACTCAGTCAAAAAAGAGGAACCAACATCTTCCCTGGTCCAACACCTTAAAGCCACAGGACATGAAATTGACTTTAAAAATACCAGAACCATTGCCAAAAGTGAACATTTTAATAACAGAATAATCAGAGAAGCCATCGAGATAGAAAAACGCCCACACAGCATGAACAAGCGAGATGATACCTCCCGCCTACCAGCCATTTGGAAACCTGCCCTTATTGACAAACGACTCCCTAACCCCAAAATCTTAAACCCCTCTGCAACTCAGACTAACCTGAGCACAACCAAACAGAACACTCCCCCAGCCAATCAGAGCACAGCCAAGCCCCTAACCATTCAGAACACACCTCCACCCAATCAGAACACAGCCAAGCTCCCACCAATCAGTTCATACCCTCACTGGCAGTTAAAAGGAAGAAACAGCTAAAACCACACATTGCTGCTCAAAGCAAGAAGCTAAAAACACCAGCCTGAAGATGACGAATGTGACTTCGTCGAAACGTTGCCAAGACACTTCCAATTTTACGCGGGAGAAAACCCGAACAACCAAAGACCTATATACAAATACCCGCGAAAACCTCAGAAAACAAATATATATATATATATATATATATATATATATAATATATATATATATATATCCAAATTTCTTTTTCTGACAAAACTTCCTATATATATATATATATACACACACACACACACATATATTATATATATAATATATATATATATATATATATATATATATATATATATACCTCAGAAAACATATATATACATATACATACATACATACATATATATTCATAATATAAAATAAATAACTTACGACCACCAGGAGAATCCAAGAAGGAAAATACTTTAATAAAACCTAGCTTTCGTTGGGAACTTCCAACATCGTCAGGGTTAAAAGCCAGTTAGTGGCATGCCTTAAATAAGGTTAGCTAACCCTTGCACCTGGCTCCTAGACCACGTCATTGGTCCTAACCAGTTAATCTGTGTTCTGGTCGTTTCTATGATGTCTGCATCCAGCTCTCCTCTATCACTCTTTTGGACACTCTTACTTGTTCTTTCAATGTTAGTTCTTAGATTTGTTAGAATGCTTTCACCCTCCGCCTCTGCAGTGATATTTACTCCCATACCATCTTTCTCTCTGCTGTGGGTTATGGGGGGGTCATTCAATTTCATACTATTGTATGTTCCATTAAGGCTCCAAATATCTTCTCCCACTCCCAATTGTGAGTCGATGGTCTCTCCTTGTTCCCCCTCCCCCATCCTCTTCCCCTCTCCTATATGGGTGGTACTTGTCTGGGTGTCATGCAGCTGAGCACTTCCCCCTTCGCCCCCCATCTTAGCGCTCTCTGTGCCAACTATCCCTTGCTGTCTTGTCTGTTGCTGGCAGTTATCACCCCTATCTGAGGCGAATCCCCTGTATTCCATCGGGGAAACTGCCAGTTGCGGGCACAAGTATCCCCTGTCCATGGTCTTCCGCTCGCCCATAGGGCGAGGGGGAAAAACATCTCCTCTTTTATGGCACAAGCGAGTTACCACCCTACATCCCCTTCTTCTCCGTATAGATCACTCCTCTTCGTTGGTACGGGCAACACTGGGCTCAGAAATCCCATCGCCAGCTCCTCCAGATCTTCTACTGATGCAATCGGCCTCCACCCAGAAGGTGAGGATCTATTAGGATGTTGTCGGAAAACAAATGAATCTCCCGCCCAGCAGGCTCTCCCTCCTCCGCCTTCCGAGGAGCACTCGGCTCTTAACAGTCTGCTGTTGGCTGGGTGCCAAGGGAGTGTCCGTGGGCCGCTGAGGGTCAATGGAAGTCTTGTGTGCCTGTCCATACCGGGGGTTAATGCTGTCTCCTCAGTCTCGCAAGCCTCGGCCGCATTGTTTGCGCGAGTGGGTGACGGTTCATACTCCATTTCCTCAGCGCCTGCTGTGTTGGGCACAGATCTACATGGCGATTAATTGAGTCCTTGTCTGAATACCAGGCTTCTTTTAATAGTCGTCCCCCTTTCGTGGCATCACTGGATATAACCCGTGTGTTGTCAAAATCAAATTGGTGACCATGTTCTGCCATATGCGTCCAAACTTGAGAATGTTGCTCGCCCTTTCTTATGGCCAGTTTGTGCTCATGTAAACGGGTTTTTAACTGTTTGGATGTCTCGCCCACATAGTTACTTTGACAGTTCTTACAGTCAATTTTGTAAACCACCGCAGATTTTTCCATAGCGGGGAGTGGGTCCTTGGGGCGCATAATTTTGGAATGCAGCGTTTGATTGGGCTTATGGGCCACCTCTATGTTATAGGGGGCCAACAGTCTGGCTGCTGCCTCAGAGACGTTATTAATGGATCAGCACATCCAAGAAGGCTAAAGGGCCTTGTTTCTCTTCCTCCACCATGAATCTTATATCAGGGTAAATCGAGTTCAGTATTCCCATAAAGTCAGCTACATGTTGCCTTTTAACAACAACAAATGTGTCGTCCACGTACCGAACCCAAAACTTGGGTTGGTATAGGGTCATCGCCTTAAGCTCTAATTGTTGAAGCACTGCCTCTGCTATAATGCTGGAGATGGGGGAGCCCATAGGTGTACCCTTAACCTGTTCGTATATGACACCCTGAAACGTAAAATAGGTTGTTAGGCATACCTCCACTAGTCTCATGAGATCTTCCGTTTGCAGAGAGTCCTGGTAATGACCTCCTTTTTATCTGTCAACTGGTCCCTCAGGACAGAGATGGCTAAGTCCTGGGGGATGGAGGTGAAGAGTGAGTTAACACCGAATGATACCATCATCTCATCCTCCTCCACCCTGAGGGTCTTGATCTTACTCAGGAACTCCTCCGCTGACTTGACCATGGTAAGACTGTCATCCACAAGGTGGCAAATATGGCCACTGAGCCATTTCGCCAGCCCCGCGGTAGGAGTACCTCTAAACGAAACAATGGGGCAAAGAGAATGCCTTCCTTTTGGATTTTGGGTAGCCCATAAAACCTAGCAAGTGCCATGTCACATGGGTGCACTTTCTTCAGGGTTTGCTCACTCATCTTTCTACTGTGCTTAAAAGTACCCAGTAGTTTATTCCTGAGTGTCACCGAGGGGTCTTTCCCGATCATTCTATATGCTGTTCTATCGTTAAGAAGCTCTAGCACTTTAGTTATATAAAGTGTCTTGTCTCTCAGCGGCCCACGGACACCCCCTTGGCACCCAGCCAACAGCGGACTCACTCCAAAGAACAGCTGAGGAGCCCGCCAATACCGAAGATGGACAGGCATCTGTTAAGAGCCGAGTGTTCTTCGGAAGGCGGAGGAGGGAGAGCCCGCTGGGCAGGAGATTCGTGTGTTTTCCAACAACATCCTAATAGATCCTCGCCCTTATTGACAAACAAGACAAACCAACAGAAGAATAAGTGCACGCATTGAAGAACATAAGAACTCAGTCAAAAAAGAGGAACTAACTTCTTCCCTGGTCCAACATTTAAAGCCATAGGACATGAAATTGACTTTAAAAAAATGAGAATTATCGCCAGAACTGAACACTTTAATAACAGAATAATCAGAAAAGCCACCGAGATAGAAAAACGCCCACACAGCATGAACAAACGAGATGATACCTCCCGCCTGCCAGCCATTTGGAAACCTGCCCTTATTGAAAACGAGTCCCTAACACAAAGAATGACACCAGACCTACGCTCATGAAAACCACACAGGATGTCAGCACCACACATCCATGCAAAAAGCAAACCCAAACCCACACCGATGATGAAGCACGACCACAAACCAGAAGCCCGACCACAGCTGCATCATTAGCCACTTTAAACCCCTCTAATCCATACATGAAGCAAACTGATACCCACCATGAAGATGAGGCATGACCACGAATGCAAAGGCAAACAATAGCAATGCAGCTCACCATTTTAAACCCCCCTGCAACTCAGACTAGCCTGAGCATAACAAAGCCCTCATCCAAACAGAACACTCCCCCATCCAATCAGAGCACAACCAACCCCCCATCCAATCAGAGCACAGCCAAGCTCCTAACCAGTCAGAACACACCTCCACCCAATCAGAACACAGCCAAGCTCTCACCCAATCAGTTCATACCCCCACTGGCAGTTAAAAGAAAGAAACAGCTACGATCACACATTGCTCCTAGAAGCACGAAGCCGAAAACACCAGCCTGAAGATGACGAATGAGACTTCGTTGAAATGTTGCCAGGACACTTCCAATTTGACATGGGAGAAAACCCGAATAACCAAAGACATATATATGTTATATAAACACACACACACACACACACACACACACACACACACACCAGAAATTATCAGCGCGTTCTGACAGTTCTGACAGTTTTTAATTTAAAAAAAAATTGAGAGAGGTCTTCACCTTTCAAGAAGCCATTATGCTCATTGCTTCCTGATAGCAAGGATGGGATAACTAAATTTATCTAATTTAATCTGGATTTAGTCCAATAATTTTTAGTATAAATCCAATTCTTTATCTAATAAGGATTTAATCATTTATTACAGGACTTATATTACCAGTCATATTCACAAGTAGGAGTGATGTTTGCATCCATACCAAATTTCAACGATTTTTACATTGAACTGGATGGTAATAATATGGGAGTAGAATGTTTACGCCTGTTAAATGAAATTATAGCTGATTTTGATGAGGTAAGAGCTAATTTGTCTTTACTATTGCCATTGGCTCTGTCTCTCTTTTTTTCTTGGTCACATCTCCCTAACAAGGCTGTTGTGGAGAAATAGAAGGTTACTTGAGCTACTGAATAAATTTCGAAGATGAAATTATAATATTATGATAATTTATAAGAAAAATTAACTGTTTAATTTTAATTTCTGATAAAATGAACATATGGTCCCTTAACTAGAGAATATTTTTATAGTTAAATCTGTTGAGTGGGTCCTTAATTCAAAATATTTTTGTTCGATTGTTTATTGTTTTAAATATTTATATAGCCACCCATCCTCCACCAATTCTGGGTGGCTCCCAATCAAAGATTAAAAGCATATAAAATCATTTTGCAAATTATAAAACATAGCCAGTTAAATCACAGAATATTAAAAACAACAAAAACATGGCACCAATCCATGCTAATGTGCCAACAATTAATCTTCTCCCAGTGCTTGGGGGAAGAGCCAGGTCTTTAAAGCCTTATGGAAGACTAAAAGGGTGAAGGTCTGCTGAAGTTGAAGGAGCAGTTTGTTCTATAGGGCAGGGAGGGACTGCTTGCTTCCTAGCTCCCAGTAGAAGAACAGGAGTGTGTCCATCCAATCTCATCTGGTAGAACAGGCAGATGTCTTTAAAGGTAAGGTGGTCCTGCAGATTGCCTGGCCATGTGCCATAAATATCTCTAAAAAGGATTAAAAGTCTAGCTTGAAGTTTTTTTTTTTCATTTACTTATTATTACACTAGATTTTCCTTTGCCTCTCAGCCAATATCTTCCCACATGCAGAATTGATTCATGGACTAATAAAACTTAAAGGCTATTGCCATTTTGATAATAATTAATTGGTAATTTTAGAACATATAGAATCAGCTATGCTTCATTGCAACTGCTATGTTCTTTCAATATATACTATATGTCACCTCATTAAGGTGGAACAGATCAGGAAACAAACACACAAGAATTATTAGAAATCTATTGATATAAACAATAGTAATAAAAACCTGAAAGCCTTTCATCATTTGTCTTTTCTTCCCTCTTATACCAAAAAAAATCAAGGTAAAACATTTTTGAGTTTCTGCCTCACTTTTTTCTGTTTTCCTGGCTAAGTTCATATTTCACCAATGGTTGCTGCATATTTTCTTGAAGGCTACCTCTGTAATCTTCTATTCCAACTTTTTTGTTTTTTCAAACCAGGTGCAATGTTGGAAAACATTCACGTAAGGAGTTGTGGGATTCTTTCTGTCTGCCTGTAAACCTTCTGAAAATTGAATTAAAGGGGTAGGGGAGAAACTAGCAAAAGAAGATTAAAGTTAAAAATTATCTAGATGAAATTGAAGGAGCCATTCTGCTCCCTCCCACATCCACCCCACCCTGATTTCCAGTATATAACTCCATGGCATCTTCACAGCAGAAAACATTTGACAATGGTTTGAATTGTTCCTAACATTCTAAACTCTTCATCAATGCAGCTGCATATCTCAGAGTAAAATTATTATTAAGAGGTTGGAAAAAAATTCAGAAACTCTGTATATTTTCTCATTCTTATTGTATTAAACAAAAGAAGCAAAGATAAATAGGTTTTGCTTAATATGCTGAGTTACTATGCTCCTGAAATTATAACAGGCGTAATCCATAATAATTTTTCACAACCACTGAAGTCTTTAGATGATATTTGCTACAGGTATGAGGCAGTAAAAAAGAATAAATGCTAAAACAAGGGATATACACATTTTTTGTTATCTGAAATATTATGCAATGTTTAATATTTTTGTGTTTTAAACAAAGCTTATGGACAAAGAATATTATAAAGACATTGAAAAAATCAAGACAATTGGAAGTACATATATGGCAGCGGTGGGTCTTGTGCCAACTACAGATAGCAAGGTAAACTATCTTCCTTTGGGTTGTTTTATTTAAGTAATATCACATCTGAAGTTAAGAGTTTGCTTTGAATCTGCTGAGGCGGAAACTGAATAAAACTATACATGTTTAACTCCTGAAATCTACAGTTCAAAGACATGGCACGATCCAAAGCAAAGGATTTCTTAGAACCTAGAAACAAACGAGGTGATTACTAGAAGCCAGTATGGGCTTGTTTAAAAACAAATCATGCCACACATGATTGCCTTTTTTGATAAACTAACTAAATTAGTGGATCAGAGAAATGTTGTGGACATAATATACTTAGACTTCAGTAGACCACAACCTACTTGGTAAGATACAACAATATGGGATAGACAGTACTAGCACTAGATGGATTTGCAATTGGCTGACCAATCACACTCAACAGGTAGTCCTCAAAGGAACTATATCTGCATGGAGGGAAGCATGCAGTGAGGTACCCCAAGGTACTATCTTATACCGAGTGCTCTTCAACATCTTCATATATGACCTACATAAAGAGATAAAAGGGGAACTCATCAAATTTACAGGGAGGAATAACTAATACTTTAGAGCAGGGATGTCAAACTCAATTTCATTAAGGGCCGCATCAGTATTGCGGTTGCCCTCGGGGCCAGGTGGGTGCGGCCTACTGGGTGGGTGTGGATGGAGTGGGTGTGGCCTACTGGGTGAGTGTGGCCAAGGGTGCCTGTGGGGGCCTGGGCAAGAGTGGGATAGATCTGAGGGACTCTGGCAGAAGGGGGAGGGACCAGGGCAAGTGCCAAGGCATGGTCCACTGGAGGAGCCTCACTGTTCCTCTCAGGCCATGCGGGGGGGCTTATGGAGCTAAGACTGAATGAGTTTCAGCATAGATGGCCAACACAAAACCTGGCTGGTCTGGGCCAGGGCCAAGGCAGAGGGGGCCATTCCCTCACTGTTTCCAGGATGGTTTTGCGGGCCACATGAAACCCCTTTGCAGGCCGCATCTGGCCCCCAGGCCTTGTGTTTGACATGTCTGCTTTAGAGGATAGGCTCAAGATCCAGAAGAATCTTGATGGACTCGAGCATTGGGCCCTTTCCAGCAAGCTGCAGATCAGCAGCAAGAAAAATAAGATCTTACACTTATATAGGAAAAATAAAATGCATGGGTATAGAATAGTTGATATCTGACTCAACAGTAGTAACTGTGAGAGGGATCTAGGGATCTAGGGATCCTAGTGACCACCACTTAGTTTGCTGCAGCTACGAAAAAAGCCAATGAAATCCCAGGACGCATCAACAGAGAGATAGCATCAAGACAATGAGAAGCGACAGTACCAATTTATATCACACTAATGAGATAATACTTGGAATACTGCATACAGTTCTGATCACCATGATACAGAAAAAGATATTGACCCTAGAAAGTGTGCAGAGAAGAGCAACAATTGTTGTGGGACCTAGGTATTTCTAGCCTATCAAAGAGAATGATCGGGGGGACATGATAACTGTCTTCCAGTACTCTGAATGGTTCTCATGAAGAAGAGGGATTAATGCACCAGAGACAAGGAGTAGAAGTAATGGGTGAAAGCTTGTCAAAGAGAGATGCAACATAAAAATAAGGATAAATTTTCTGATAGTAAGAGCAATTAATCAATGGAGGAGCTTACCTCCTTGGGTTGTGGGTGCTCCATCACTGGAGATTTTCAAAAATAGACTGGATAACCATTTGACTAGGATAGTATAAGACTCATTCTTGAACAGAGTGTTGGACTAGAAGACCTCCTTGGTCCCTTTCAGCCCTATGATTCTATGACTCTAGGTTGCTTCAAAGGAATTGGAAATTTGTAAAATCTATGAGCAAATCTATGTGACCAAAGACAAATTGTGCAGCTATAGCAGAGAGAGGACTGTTTGTGCTCCCTAGATGTAAAATAGGGTGCTAATCTGACCCCCCAAATACATGCATGTGCATGCACACATACACACACACACACACACACACACACACACATATACACATATATAAAATATACAATAAATGTATGATAAGTATAAATACACACACACACACACACACACACACACACATATACCTTCAATCATGTTAACATTCTCAGCAAGCATTAATGAGGTCAGAAGTGATAAAGCTGCACTAAAGCAAAGGTCATCTAATCCAGTCATCTCTTTTCTGTAGTGGCTAAACAGACAATTATAAGAAATCCAAGTGCAGAATATAAAATCAGTAATTACCAATTCCTAAAAAGCCCCCTCCCGAATAATTTAATCTTACTAAACATGACCAATAATTAACTGCTATTGATAAATAACTTTAAATTTTTCTAATCATCTGAATTTTCTAATCCCGGGATCCTCACTCTTCTCTACAACATTTCTAGTCTTGTGAAATTAACTTCTCCCCAAAATGAGCATTTAGCTTGTTAAATATATGTCACCTATATATTTGTTTATATTTAAAGAGATTCTTCATCTGTTTTACAAACTTGATTAAATTGTGTTACAGTAATCAATACAACATTATGAATGACATAAAAATTTCTTTTTAAAATATAGACAAAGAAATCAATTTATTTCCATCTCAGTACACTGGCTGACTTTGCAATAGAAATGTTTGATGTTCTTGATGAAATCAACTATCAGTCCTACAACGATTTTGTTCTTCGGGTTGGTAAGTTACATTTTCAAGAATAAATTCTATATTGTTATTGTTTCTTTCAGCATTCATAACAGAGATTTTATAAACAAATCCTATGTTCTGACAATATATAGCAGCTAATATTATACCTAATAGTTGCATAAATAATTTTCTTCTCTAACTTGACAACTGTTAATTAATATTAAAGATGAGGAAAGTATACAGGGATGACTGATCATAATAAAAAAAACAGTCTTGTAGAAATTGAAATTCCTTCATTCCTCATGGGGTAGAGAGAAGTTTTCAGAGAGATTATGAAAATCTTTAAGAAACTATTTTTTAATCTTCAGAGAGATTTAAAAATATATAAGTAGTAAAAAGACACTTCCAGATACAATATGTCTGCAATGTAAAAACCAAATCTTCTCTCATTGTTTTACTTCAATTTATGTCACCATCCCCTCCCCTTAGTCATTTTCTTACTGTTTGCAAAAAGAGCAGAAAAATCAGCTTGTACCACCCCAGACAATTAAGTATTGCTAGTGTCCAGGTATTAAACATTTATTTCCCACCACAATCTCCCCAGAGATTGTCCCAAAGCAGAACTCCTACTAAAGAAAAGCCTAAGTTTATCAAATGTGTTGGCAACTATAATTTTCAAACTATTCCAGGTTAATTGAAGAAGTGCTATAGGTCTTTCTTTCATATATTAATGAGATTTTATTAATCGTTTATTTGCGGAATTTGAGGAAGTTATCTATAAACTACTTATGTTTTGTCACCTGGAAGCCAATAGGAGAAGAAAGTCAGCATTCTTCCCCATTTCTGTTTAAAACAAGGGCACCTTAGGAATATCCTTAGATTGGATATTATTTTCCCATTTCAGCTTCTTAGTATCAAAAAGCAATTTCAATAGAATGGAAATATATGCTTTAAAAGGAATGGGTAGGGGACCCAGATACTTCCTTGCCATGCCTGATGAACATTAGATTTCATTTTTTAAGTATTTGGCTTCTTTTTCAGGTATTAATGTAGGCCCTGTAGTGGCAGGTGTTATTGGTGCCAGAAGACCTCAATATGATATCTGGGGTAATACTGTAAATGTTGCTAGCAGGATGGATAGTACTGGAGTGCAAGGTAAAATTCAAGTGAGTATTTTCAGAGTTATGTTATAAATTACATCAATCTTAATAAAATATCAAAGCAATGGGTTACTTCTCAGACTATAGTGAAACTCCACCTAGGAAAAATTATTTGTTTTTTTAAACTAATCAAATTTATACATCACAGATGGGTGATGTATAAATTTGATTAATTTAAAAAAACAAATAATTTTTTCCGTACGTGTCTAAGTGACTCCGAATGGTGTACAAATAAAAAACATCCCTAAAAAAGTAACAAAGTTATAAAGATGGAGAGAACACCCTCAAGCCACCAACTACACCCGGGGTTGTGACCCATTCTTAGATCCCAATGCCAGTTGACAAAGCTTGAGGACTTTCTTTCTACCTTTTTAACATTATTTCTTTTGACTCCATCTTTTTAACTCTGCTAAGGCTGTTCCAGAAGACCATAAGAGAGGGGCTACCTCACTTCAAGATGTTCCATAGGGTGAGGGCAATGGCAGATAAGGTTTTCTTTCTAGACCTTGTCAATTGGAATTCTTTCTAGACCTTGTCAATTGGGGTCCATAACAGTCCCATTCTGCCTGGCCAGGAGGGATGGGTCAATATATTTGGGCTGAAATGGTCCCTTTGATAATCTGAACTCATGCCATAAAGGGTTTTAGAAGTCAAACCAACACCTGGCATTGGACTGAGAAAAGAGACCAGCATTCAGAGCAACTCACACAGCTGAGGTTTTATATGCACAGCCCTAAGTCACTCCAGACTGCCTATGTGGTATTCAGCACAAGATTTAGCTTCCAGATATAGTAGTATTTGGTAGTTATGACTACAGTTGGGACCAAAAAATTTGTTGCTAACCAAGGCAGTTGTTAAATGAAATGCCCATTTTATGACCATTTTTACCGTATTTATTAAGTGAATCACTGCCGTTTTTATGTGAATCATGTGGTTCTTATGGGAATCCAATTTCTCTGTTGGCTTGACTTGTCAGAAGCTGGCTGGGAATGTTGCAAATGGTGACTATGTGATCCAGGGATGCTGCAGCTGTTGTAAATACATGCCAGTTGCAAGTGCAGAATTTTGTTTATATAACTGTGGAGATATTCTGATGGTCTTAAATGTGAGGACTAGTCATCAGTCACTTTTTTAAGTGCCATTGTAACTTAGAATGTTCATTAAACAAATAGCTGTAAGTTGAGGACTATGTGTATCCTACCTATAGCCATGTAGAGCTCCATTGCAGTAGTCCATATGGGTGATGACCAGGGCATGAATGAGTGAGAGGGCTTCCCAATCCAGGAAAGGGCTTAGCTGGTGCACAATATGAAGTTGAGCAAAGGCCCTCCTAGCCACTTGCTCCTTGATCAAGAGTTGTGAGTCCAAGAGGACCTCCAGATTATATACCAGGATTGTCTGTGGCAGTATAGATACTAAAAAGGAGCAGAGAGAGCACCAAGCCCTATGAGACCCCACAAAGCAGACACTGTGGGCTGGCCCTTTTGCTCCCAATCAACACCAATTGGGATTGACCTCAGAGGAAGGAGGTGAACCAGCACAAAACTGGACCTCCACTCTCAATAATTGGAGGTAACCAAAAGGGGTATCTATGGTATCAAACATACCAAGAGATCAACATGAATCAGGATGGATGGACTACCCCAATCCTGTTCCTGCCAGAGATCATCCAAAAGCATGACCAATGCTATTTCTGTCCCATATCTGGGATTGAAACCTGACTGGAAGGGATCCAGATAAACCATTTTCTCCAGGATTCTCTGGAACTGCCATGCCACCATCTTCTCAACTCTCTTCCCTAAAAAGGACAAAAATTGTTTAAGTGAACAGCTTCTAGAGAAGGCAAACCAAAGCTTCTCTAAATGGCACTGGGAACACCCCTACCAAGGGTGAATTAGCCATCACTAGCATCCACTTACTCTACACGACATTTCCCAGATAGACTTGAGGACCATCCTTACTGTCCCAAGCACCCTGTCCACTTCCTATAATAGGATCAAACTGTTCCCAGTTAATTGGATAAGTCCATTCCCCAACTGAGAAGGAATCCAAGTGATTTTATCCACTAGATGAACAGCAAATTCCTCTGTGTGGCCCTGAAGGTTAATCTCTGGTGTCCCATTACCCAAGGGGATCTGAAAACTGGGTAAGAGAGAAGTAGCACTCTGCAGATGTAATAAGAAGAGAGAAATATTGTTTTGCTACTCTTACTTCCTTGAGATTATTATTAAAATTATTTGTCACCTAACTTGTCATGGAGTTACTCTAGGAAGCTTACAACAACAAAAAACAAAGAAATAAAAAGGAAGTTTAAACTAAGTGAAAGTAGCATAATAGAACTATAAAATAAAAAAAAGAAAACAAAATACATCAATATGACTAGTAAAAAGAAGATGAGTGAGTGGGGAGTGGTTCTAGCTCCTATTCAACCAGAATGTTGAACAATTCCCTGTGATATTAAAAGTTCAAAGGAAAAAAGTTGAACAATCCAAAACTCTAATACGACAATGGATTGAGACAAATTTTATTTGGTGTTTAAAAGATAACTATGGAAGCAGAATGAGATTTCCCTTAGAATGGAGTTTGAAACAGCCATAACAAATGCTCTTTCCCCTTAAAAAAAATGAAGTTTAGGAAACTGGCTACCATATTAAAGAAAGATTTGTTAACTATTAATCATTGGTGACTGAGGTTTGTTTAATTCACAGGTTACAGAAGAAGTACAACGTATATTGAAAAGGTGCAATTATGAGTGTGTTTGTCGGGGGAAAGTCAGTGTGAAAGGCAAAGGTGAAATGCTGACTTATTTTCTAGAAGGAAAGACAGATGGAAATAATTCACAAACACGATCTTTAAACTTAGAAAGGAAAATTTATTCCTATGGGAGAGCAAATATTCAGACCAAATTGGGCACAAGTTGTCCATCTATGTGCTCATCCCCCAGCCTTTCAACAAACACTGGGTCTGGAACACTTCAACCACCAATAGCACATACTAATCTGACTCTCCATTATCTTCCTTCTGTGCCAGCTATAAAAGAGGCATGAAAGCAATGAAAATCTTTGTCCTGTCATTTGAGATGATGTGTACAGCAGAAATCATCTTAAAGGTTAAAGGCTGCAGAATTTGATATCAACCAAGAAGTCTAACAACCCAACCAAAGAGAACTTGGGAACCATTAATAAGAACTTATGGGAAGGATCAAATAAGGGCTAGCAATTCTGTTTGAGAAATCTAATATTTATTCTCTGAAACTATGGAATATTTTATGAATAATTTTAATGGATAAATGAGATAACAGAGAAGGCACATCAATAAGACTGGATATTTGCACAAACAACAAGAGAGATTGGGATTGTTGCTTCACTATTGATTTTCCTGCTGTAAACTATCATGGAGAATGTTGGCAATATCCTATAGCAGAGAGAGCATTTATATGATCATATCCAGGGTGCTTGATCTATCATTTATAGTTCCTGTTTAAGTCAGAGTGATGATAAATTGATTTATATGAAGATGTAAGAAAGCATGGTGGAATACTTTACCATAGTATTAATAGGAAAAAGAAATAAATTTTCAGCACTTGCTGTAATGTAGGACACAATAACTCTTAAAGAAAACAAATGTAACTTTTACATTTCGCTGTGTTTTGCATCTTTGAGTGTTTCCTAACTGCATAGTAATGAATCAGAGATCAGACTGTAAGTAGATTTATTGGAGATATTGGGTATTCATTGAATTTATGATAATCATGAATGGCTTCCTATTCACACAAATTTGGATGGGACAGAGTTTGTCTCATATTGTTGCATAGAATCCCATAGAAACAGCAGTTTCCATATTGGAGAAGATAGTAGGAGTAAAATTGAGTTAACTATTCCAGGACAGACTGCTACTAAAGTGGCAATTCTGTGCATGCCAAAAGAATATTAAGCTGTAAAAAATTATGCCTTTTCAATTGGCCAAATGGTTACTTTAAGACATTTATTAAAAGCAATTGAATTATAGTACATTTGTTATTAGACACATATATAGTTCTGTTCCCTAAACAGTATATAGATTTGTGAACAAAAGTTTGATCCTGTCATGAAATAGATCTTTCAGATCCAGTCCATATTAAAGGATTTGATGCAAATCCTTTACAGTTGACTACTGTTTTTGATTTGTTCTCATCTCTTTCATATGAAGATTCTCATTAACAAATACATGTTGATTTTTTTAATACAAAGTTTAAATTTCTTATTTTGAATCAATTAATGTATTTAAATAGTGATGGTTTTAGCATCTAAAATGAAAATACTTTTAATACTAACATAAAAGTTTTGGAAATGTCAGGCAGCCAAATTTTTTGTTGTATAAGAATATTTTCTTCCATTTCCTGGCTTTTGAATTCTGTTTCAATGCCTTGAGTGCAGCTTCCAAGAAATGTCTCCATTGCAAATTTTGTTAATATAACAGGAATTACTATAAAGCACAAACTTTCTTTGAAGCTCACACAAATTTCAATTTACTTCCTATAAAATATCTAAAGTACTTGTCTTCTTTGTTACTTTTGCTTGAAATTGATGTAGTAAATTAAATAGCAGAAGAAGACACTGTTCTCATCTGTAAAATGGCTGGTGAGATACTTACAGGAGAAAAACTGAAAGGGAAATTTCTTGCAGATTTCAGCTTTACTTTGTACTAGAAAAGCTGAGGCTGCCAAGTATATACTTTGCCATCATTTTAGCAGAGTTAAGTTCAAATGTAAATACCATTTATAGGTACTCAGGTCTCTTTGATCATTACACATAAAGAATATCCAGATGTTTGTTTATAATATTATAAGTCATTTCTTCTATTCATTTTAATCCTGATCAATTTTATTCATATAAGTATTTCCAAAATACTATAGTGAATATTTTTCCTTGTTCCTGATGAAGAGGAAATACTTACTTTTAAAGTATGATATAACTCAAAAGAAGAATGTATAAAAAAATCTAGAAACTCTGATTATGAAAGGTAGGTTATTGGAAAGATGAGGTTATCACTGGTCTTTTTAAAAAAAGAAACCTCTGGATTTCTCTTTATGTTGTTCAAGACTATTATAAAAATATTAGTTTTGCTATAGTGCAATCACTTTTATTACATTCTTAATATTGTTCTTCCAACAAGAGAGAGCATTGCATTGTGCTTTCTCTCAATTTCCCATTCATTTATCTAAATATTTTCAGTTTTATAGTGGATTTATTGTCTCTGTGCTTCATCTGACTTATCTCTGAGCTTCCAGGATCACGTTCATTTTATTTGCTGGTACAAAGAGACTTTCCTGGAGACTTAGGGCTTTGATCGATGAGAGAAAAAACTCTTATTTTTCTCTAGCAAATTTTAAGGCATGCTAGTTGTTTGGAGATGTCTCTCACTAGCAAGAGATCAGAATGTGATCTCAATAGTTTGTCTTGTTTCTCTTGAGCCACAGTTTGTCTCTGATTTAAGATATCGCTATGCCAAATTTGGGGAAAGATTTTCAATGTAAAAACATAGTCTTTGGAATTCAGAAAGAGGGCAAAAAAAATCCATATGACTTTGGCACCACACAGAAGATTTAATTATCTATTTGACACTGACAGTGTCACCATTCTTTATTCCACAAAGCACTATCCCCAAGTCAAGTAAAGGGATGGAATTCATACCATGTTTCCCTAAAAATAAGGTCCAGTCTTATATTTTTTGGGCCTCCAAAAAAGGCATTTGGTCTTATTTTTGGGGTAGGGCTTATTATTTTCACATACAGGAGGCGCACAGGGGCTGACAGGAGTGGGAGCACTCTCCATCCCACCATCTGCTGGTGCTGCCATGATAAGTTGAGGCGAGGCAGGTGGTGAGTGGGTTGAACTGCTTCCCTCCACCTGCCAGACACCTGCCAAAGCCATGCAGGATAAATGCTGAAAGTGGTCAGGGGCAGTCCCACGCCTGCATTGCACAGCTGGCATGAAAGCTGCAGCACCTGCCAGGGCTGAAGAGCATGGGGCTGCCCCTGCCCCTGGCTCCTGCTGCCATGGAGCCGGAGAGATTGCCACACACACACCCAGATGCCCTCACCTTCTCCAAGTGGTTTTTTCACTAACCTGCTTTTCAGCTGCATCATGTTTCTCTGTCTGTTTCTCAGCTGCTGCCATGTGCAGGAAAACAAAAGTAGTTTGTGGGACTAAAAAAAAAAGTTTGGCAGACCTTCCAACTTCTCATGGAAAAAAAAAAGATCTCACAAAGTTGGAAGGTCTGATTGAACTTTTTTTTTCTTAGTCCCACAAACTACTTTTGATTCCTGCACACGGCAGCGGCTGAGAAACGGACAAAGAAATGTGATGCAGCTGAAAAGCAGATTAGTGGGGGAAAAAAATGCTTGGGGGATATGCGGCAATCTCACCAGCACCATGATGGCAGGAGCCAGGGGCAGGGGCAGCCTCTGCTTATAGGCCCTGGTGGATACTGCAGCCCTCATGCTGACAATGTGAGGCAGGAGTGGGGCTGCCCCTGGCTGCTTTTACCCTATGTGCTTCAGCAGGTGTCTGGAAGGCGGAAGGAAGCAGCTCCACCACCACCCAGCACCTACCTCGTCTCACTTCATGGCAGTGGCACCAGCTGCACAGGCCGACCCACACAGAAGGCAAGGCGGTGCCAGCAGCCAGTTGCAAAGCAGCCACAGGTCAGATAGAGGCCAAAAGTGGCCAGGAGCCGCCCCATATCTGTCTCACACAGCTGGGATGAGAGCTGCAGTGCCTGAAGAGTGCCAGGCTCAGTCTATAGCCCAGTGCCTATAGTACCGAGTAGGTGTGCAGGCTGGCGCTCAGCAGCCCAAAGACAGAGGCACTGGTGAGATGGTTCCACTGGTAGCTGCTGGCGAAGGGCCCTGGCAGGCTGTTGGCAGAGGTCGAACAGAAGATGTGTGCCAACTCACCCCACGCCAGGCAGGAGCAGCACAGCAGGGCAGCCCAGAGTAGCACGGCCAGGAGGGCAAAGCCCCCACGAGCCCAGAAGCAGCACAGGCAGCCACTGATTTCTATGGCCTTGAATTCAAATCAGAAATGAAGCCATAACCATAAAACATGATAACCAATCAAACAAATTAATTCAGTAGTATTTTCCTTTAAACCAAATAAGAGAAAAGAGAGAAGGAATGTGAGAAAGAGTTATAAGATTAATAGTTTCTCTGCATTTATCTGAAGGATGACTAATAAAACAGCTATATTTGCCCTATTAGCATCTAAAGAATTGTATTTCAAATCCTATGCAGTACAGGTTTTTCAGCCTTTAATATCTAATAATATAATAATAATATTCTCTCTCTCTCTCTCTCTCTCTCTCTCTCCACACACACACACACACACACACACACAGACACACACACACACACACACACACACACACACACACACACACACACATATATATATATATATATATATATATATATATATATATATATATATGAAATTATCTATCTGGATTCTTATCAAATAAAATGAAAAATGATTTTTTACATATTCATTTGTTGAATCAAGCACTGCTATGATAATTTTTTATATATAAATTTAAGGGGGAAACCATACTTGGACTTTAGTACAGACAGACAGACAGACAGACAGACAGACAGACAGACAGACAGACAGACAGACAGACAGACAGACAGACAGATAGATAGATAGATAGATTAGATAGATAGAAAGAATATTCTGGGGACCACAGGCAAGCAAAGAAAACAGAGGCAAGTCTCTGAGAATCTCACTGAACCAGCTGTAAAACATTAAGCAAGTAATTGTTATCCAAATTCTTTCACATTTCTGGTTCTAATCACAATATTAGCCATGATGTCCTTTCAAATAAGAATTTTATATAAGAGGGACAGGCAATTTAAAAAAAAATTCATGGTAAAACTGTATAATAATGCCTTATTTATTTTTAATCTTGTATATATGAAAACATTGGCCTTTCATGTTTTTATTTATTTGAAGGCAGTATGAAATTTTGTAAATAACTTTAGCTATGAAAGGTTTATTGCATGTGACTTGGACTTTAAAAAAAGCAGCAAATGGGCACATTAACAGATGCTAATAGTTCTTTGTAAACTGAAGTTTTATAATGCATGAATATAAATGTTTTAGAAATGGATGTCCTTTTGCTTCTTTTCTGCAATCTACTGCATGCCATTCATGCCTGACTTTGGTAAACAAAATGCTAAGAGTAACTTTCTTCTTACTTGTTTTTAACTTATCACTTCTGACAGAGTTTTTATAGCTCGACTAGCTGCATGTAAGTGTGTGCAACAACAGCAAAACTAAAATTACAAGGCATCAAACAATTAAATCTATCATATTGCCAATCTCAGTGTTGCTGGCCCACATTATATGATATATGAAATGTGTTCTCAAATATGTGTTCTACCTTTATAACAGTATCTTTGGTCATTAGAAGCAATAAATTATATTCCATATACTGTAATACCTCTATATCTAAATACACACATATATAAATTAGTGGAATAGGTAGTGGCATAAAACTGAGTCGCTAATTTAACAGGTACTGTTTAATATCTTGCTTGAGTTAGCAGAATAAGTAAATGATTGGTTTTGGGCAGTGAATAATTCTGCAAAGCCCAGAAGATATAAAAGAGCACAAAACTGTTCCTGTAGATAGGGTCATGTGAAGCTGCCTTAGGCTTGGAACACAGGTCCATGTAGCCCAAGAACTGGCTGGCAGATTTCTCCCCCCAGCCCAAGATCTCAAGCATTTAGATCTGAATATATGAAATTATTTTGTACCAAGATTGATTATCCCTTTGGCCTGGTCTTTTCTCATCTGCCAAGTAGCTGCTCAGGTCTCTTCCAGTCCTGCTGAGATAACCTGGGTAGGATGAGATTTTATCTGGGAATTTATGCATGCAAAACAAATACTGTATAATGGTGTGATGGCCTTTCCCATCTAGGAAAAGATCAAGTGCATCCTCAAAAGCATTTTAAGATATTGTAGTGCAGATCTCAAGATGTAAGAGCAATATATGATTTCATCAGAGTGTAAACAGGCGGAATTGCATGGGAAAGAAGTGGAAAGATTTGGTTTTTAAAAAGCTATTTTGTAGCTTTTTTGGAAATTATAATTAGTTATGATATTTGAGATAAATAGTATAGATTTTTTTCATATTACCAAACCTAATTTAAATGGTCTTATTTCTTGATAACTACAGTATGAACAAAAAATTAATAGACCAGCTGAATTCATAAATAAGCTGAACTATAGGATTTTTTAAAAACGGAATCAAAATTTTTTTTTGCCTTTATTTTATATGATTTTTTCAAGTAAACTGTAAATCTACAATAATAATCATACTTTCAGAATGCACATCCCAGTGTAATCATTTGGGATAATTTGTAAGAAGGCAGGTTGAGGCCCAGTTACAGTATTACCACTGACTTCTATCTACAGTTGGTTATTCTTTTGTTTCAGACACTGAGCTCCTTTCTAAATTCTTTATTCTTAATTTATTAAATTTTAAATTCAAATATTGGCATTTTTAAATCCATGTGGCACACATACTGTAGATCATGCATACTTTTGGTGGAATTGTTACTGAAATGTTTTGGTGGCATATAGCACTGTAGGACAAGGTTTACTAAGGATGTGCAATTAAATACAAATTTTCTGATATGTGATATCACTTAAGTCAGAACAAAATGCATCTTTATTACGTGAATGTATCACAACTGATCACAAATTCAACATAAAACAGCCAGAGAATAATTTTAAAGAAGGATGTGGTGAAGTAAGTTGATTATCAAAATCTGTCCTGATACAAATAGATCCAAAGAAAGATACCCTGAAAAGGGATCGAAATACAGAGTACAAAAGATAGTAAAAAATAAAATCAGAGTTTTTCCCTACCCCCAAAATATTTAGAATAGGTCAAGATTTTATTTCACATCACTAGATTTATCTCTGTTTAGACCTATTAAATATAATCCCATTGAGCACATCATGATTAGTCTAAGTCCCACAGAATATAACAGTAATAGTATCTGGATTCCATATATTTCAGAGATTCTGATCTAACATCATATTACTGCCTAAAAAACTCTAAGAAACTTAATCCAGTAAGAAATATAAAGGCTGCGGGATTTTTTTTCTTTTTAATTTTATTTTAAACCATTTTTAAATTAATTTGATACAGTCGGTGAAATTAATAATGGTCTGGCAAAATCAATATAGAAATAACAAACATACCAAATATACAGTAAATTTCAAAAGAGGTAGGTTAAAATAAAAGACTTTTGAGAAAATTAACTAGTAAATTCTGATACCAGAACATTAAATAATATGACAAGGAGCAATAGATTTAGTTTTTCTGGTAGTGATAGTTTGGTATGTTTGTGGGGGAATTGAAAATATTCATGCCCCTCTCCATCTACATTTTGAACTGGCATAGTCAAAAAGCTTTTCTAATTGATCTGCTTAGTAGAAATCTCTGTAAGGAGAAACTATCAAATATATAAGCTCTTATGTTGATTAGAAAAGAAGTCTAAAGTTTAGCAAGTAGAATTGATTTGACACCTCTGATGAAATCATCATGCCAGATTGGTTCAAACCCCATGCTTTAATTCTCTCTAAGGTTAAAACATCACAATTGTTTTCATTTCAACAAGCTGAATCTGGTCCATTATATTGCAAATATTCTAATTCAGCCTTTGCTTAGTTTGGTACCCTCCAAATCATGTTGCTACTAGAACTCCAATAATTCTCTGCCCTTATTCCTGACAGTTGTAGTGGCAACATATTTGTGGAGTACAAGATTGAATAAAGATAGCCTAAGGGATTTTATTTCCTTCCAGCTTTAGACCTAAACAAGAGTGTTTGTGTATTTCTTCATTGTTTTTTCTGTTCTGAATCATTCTGAGGTGTCTGTTTATAAATTGAGAAAGCCTGTTTCATGTTTTCCTTTATAATAATTTGTCTATGAATGATTAAATGCTTCAGCTGCTCTTATGCTGAATGAGGGGAAAAGGCACTGAGAAGTATACATACAAAGATATTTAGTATGAACATTTGGGAAAGGACTATTACAGAAATATGTAATGTTATCTTCAGTATTACAACAACACCCTCGGTAACGTGGAATGAGATAAATAATA